CATGGTCCGAGAGCCACCGGCTCACGTCCAAGTCGTGCAAGGGGAAAACTACCCTGTTTGTGTTGTCGACATGGCGGGAGGGTGTGTGCGTGTGTGTGCACATTGCCGAAATGGGATCAGCTTGTGTCATTGTCTGTTGTCATATGAGTGGCGCGAGCATCACGCAATGCGCGGCACGATCGACGCCCCCCAGCATGAAAGGTTCCAACCGGCCTTTGCGAGGGGGGCAGGGGGGCGTGGAATTAGCGAGATGCGACAGACACGATGCCAGCGCTACCATCACCGAGAGACACGCGACCGAAGAACGACGGCCATGTGAAATAGTTGAAGAGAACAGCTAAAGGCTAGCACGGTGGGGCAACCAACAAAAGGTAGAGTCCTTCGAGGCCTGACCTGTTGTGCACTTTGTGGCTCCAGAAGTAGCCGCGGCGAAATCTCTTAACGTGCAGCATCAAGATCTCGGGCGCGTGTAGGAGACTCGTCGATTTGTCTGCCGAAGACAGAAAGAAAGACCCATAAGGCAAAGAGGAAGACCCACACAAACAACATGCAAACAGTCAAAGGCAAGCAAAAACGGAAACGATAACCATGGCGACGAAACACAGACCCGACACGTTTGTCTGTCCCTATGCGGCTATTTACGATTGCCGTGTTTATTGGCAAGCCTTTCAGCGGGAGTCTTTTCAAAAACAACAAGGCAAGCTCTATCGAACACACCAGTCTCTTCCACGGCCTCCCTCCGGGTCAGGGGGCTTCGTGGTGCAGCAAACAGTGCTGCACATTTTCTCCCGCTTCCAAGGTCGAGGTCTTTGTATTGATTAGGCAGTCAGCGAAGCGCGGTCTATCCCAAATTACCAAACATGCACAACCATACACACACGGGGAGGCAGACAGACCGTGAACCATTGCACAGATAACGGGGCACGGATATAAGCACGAAAACATGGGGGGTGGGGGGGGCTAGACAGAGGCGGAAGCGGAGAGCAGCGCCGTACGACCTCACTCCGGGGTGCACGCTCCCCGTGCACATGTACAGAAAAATCTCCTGTTACTTTTTAACACTCGCCTGCTTCTTTCTTGCAACCGCAGCCATCGCAGTGGTACTGGTTAGCCCCGCGAAGCCGCTCCGGCGAGAAGAAGGCATCCAAACAGTCCTGAGGCGACAGGAGGTCCAAGAGAAACCAATCAAGTTATCACCCAAGGGTCCGACCAAGACTTGGGGAGCGGATAGCAATGAATGGAGACAGTAGTGAGCCCTCACTACCTCCCTTGACGGTTGCGATCAAGAACCCCGCCGTGCGTCGCTCTCGTTGCATTCGTGCCTCCTGCTGTCCAAATGAAACATGCACAAACTTCCTCCATAACAACAAACTTGAAACGAAACTGCAGAATTATCATCACAAGAAACAAACGTAACTGCAGTATTGCAGCAGCAGCAGCAGCAGCAGCAGCATTACAGCAGCGGCAGCAGAAGCCCGACTAAGCAAACAAGAAAGCAACAAGAAAATGCACCTCGAGGGCGACGCTCTTGAAACCCAGCCACACGCCCAGCGAAGACACCAGCCCCCCAAAGTACCCCGGGGCACCACCCCCACCACCCCCGCTCGCTCTACCCTCGTGGTCTCGATCGTGGGGGCCGTCGTCGTCGTCCCGGGTCGCCGAGCACCACCCCCCCCTCGTCCGCCGCCACCCCCCCCAGTCCGAGCTGCGGTCCCCCCCCCCAGCGGCTTCGCTCTCGCCGTCCGCCCCACCTACCGTCGTCACCGACCGCCCCCCCAACCCCGTNCCCTCGTCCGCCGCCCCCCCCCCCAGTCCGAGCTGCGGTCCCCCCCCCCAGCGGCTTCGCTCTCGCCGTCCGCCCCACCTACCGTCGTCACCGACCGCCCCCCCAACCCCGTTCGTTTCTCGCTCACGTCCGACGGCTCCCACTCCGCTCGCGGGCTCTCCATCGTTGGCGTCATCGCCCCCCCCCCGGGACCTCCCAGCGTCGTCGTCGTCGTCGTCGTCGTTGTCGCCTCCTCATGGTGGTGGTGACGGTCCCTTCTCATCGCCGCCGCGGGCGCTGTGAAGGCGGAGGAAGCGCCGGCGCTGCACCCGCCGGCCGCCGTCGCCGAGACCGAGCCCGCGGAGGCGGCGAGGAGGGGGACGGAGAGGTCGTAGAAGCGGTCCGGGTGGTCGGAGTGGCGGCCGCAGGTGCGGCAGGTGATGCGGCCGAGGAGGACCCCCTGGAAAGTTTCCGCGGCGGCGCTTTGCCAGTATACATCGCGCTGCACGCAGGTGTTTTGTTGTCCGTCGTTTGTTATCGCGGCCGTGATTAATGGACACAGAAAGGCAAGAGTGGACGATCGCACGAAAGGAATGCATGGGGCAGAGCGGAGGATGACGGCGAGCGGCAGAAAGAGCGCAAAACGAACAGGTCGGGAGCAGCGACACGAAGTCAGGTCGGGAGGGAGGGAGGGAGGGAGGGAGGACGGGTAGAGATGCAAGTAGGTGAGGTCGTCGCAACGTCTAATCCACCCGTCGCCTCCCGACAACGAAAAAAAAACGACGGGCACCCAAGAGCCGTTTCAAAAGTTTGGCACACGCAGAACCCTGGACTGACCTGAGCGGCTGCTCCATCCCCAGACGCTACCCGTTCGGTCGACCGCTCGTTGTTGCCACCGCCGTCCCCGCCGCTGGCGCTCCACACGCCGTCCGCGGGCGTGGCCGGCGGGGTGGCCTTTCCTCCCTGCTTCGGCCTCTTGTGCTTGTCGGTGCCCGCGTCCGTCGTCGCGGCGGAAGCCTGAGCGGACGGATGATGATTCTGCGACGGGCCGTCGAGGAGGGAGGCCGTAGCCGGACCGGTGGCGCCGCCGGCGGCAGCGGCAGCGGCATCGGCGGCGGCCGCGGACTCCGTCGAGGAGGCGGCCATCGCCGCCGTCAAGGCCGCGTGTCCAGGCTCGAAGCTCACCGGCACCTTCTCGAGTTGGGGAACGGCAGCGGGGGGTTGTGTGGTGGTGAGCACATCACGTCGCGCGTGTGGTTTTCCTTAGAAGGCGACCCCTCACGCACAGGGTCTCAGAGAAAATAAAACAGCGCATGTGGTGCAGACAATGGCAAGCAACAGAGGGTCATCTGTCTGAGGGAGCGAGAAAAATTCCAACAAATGGAGCTCGGCATACTTTTTCGCTGTTCTTCCCTCCCTCTCCCGCCGCCTCTTGTCATCTCCCGGCGTCCTTTCTCACCGGGCGTCTGAGCTCTTCGTGCAACAGGTCCAAGATCGACCGCAGCGCCTCGTGCGCGTCGTGCTGCCCGTTGCCGGCGAACCAGCGGTTTCCCTTGACGAGAGCGCGGATAACCTCCGCCGGTGTCGCTGCCCGCCGCCGGCCGCCGCTGCCGCCACCGCCGCCGCCTTCGTCCGACCACATCTCCGAATACAGCTTGGACATGGCAAAGGCTAGAGGGCTGTTGCAGTGGGAGCATGGGAATGACAACACGAGGCATACGATTGGTTTCGATTTGGTAGTGGTTCGCCCTCGCTCTGGGTTGCCTGAGAGAGAGAGAGAGAGGGAGAGAGAGAGAGACACACAGAGAGAAGAGCGAGGCAGCCACCGGAGAAGGAGGGGGTCGCCTGCTCAACGGAGCGGCGGCATTTGGCTTCTAGGAATCTGATTACCCCAAAACTTATCAACGGGACATCCGGTGTTCGCATTAGACACTTCAGAGGCCCTTTCTATACCCCAGCAAAATTCTTGCTGCACATGGATGCAATCCACCTTCCACGGCAAGAGCATCTGCCAGAACCATACCGCTCGTCGATCATGAAACGCCTCAAAGCTTGCGAGGGCACACGAGCTGTTGAGCGCGACAAGCCCTGCACCAGTTTCGACATTTTTAGTCATTTATTCCTGCCCTTGAACGGCGACAGCTTCACAATGGCCGCCCGGGCACCGCAAACTTTCACCTCAACACCTCAAAACTCACGCCCCACACCACCGTTGGTCAATCACCCCCAAAAACGACGGCTTGAAGAAACATGCACACACGGCCACAACTCACCACGGACGTCCGGCGACACTAGGACCAGGGACGCATTCCACTAGGTGCGTCCGGAACGGAGCACACCTCGCGAGCGCCTGTAGGCTAGCGTTCAGGTAGCAGAAGTTCCCCTCGTTGGTGAGCCCGACCACTCCTTTCACTCCCGCTCCACCGTTGCCGAGTCCGCTGCTGCCGCCGTGCTCATTGCTACCGCTACTGCTCGCATCCATGGTGCTGGTGCTGCTGTTGTTGTCGTTGTTGTTGTTGTTGTTGTTGTTGTTGCTGCCCTTGACGGGGGACACTGCAGACGATGCGCCGCCTGAACCGCCGCCGCCGCCGCCGCCGCCGTTTTTTGCCACCATGGACGCCACAGGCGTCGCCGATACCGCCGCCGACAAAAATCCCCCCGGTGCCTGGGGCGACGAGAGGGATACCCGGCCGACCCAAGGATCTGCAGGGATGAACCGGCTCAGCAGCTCGGGCTGCTGCTTAGCATTGGAGCGGGGCATTGTTCAAGTAGATGGAGGGGGTGGGGCCGGGGTGGCGGGGGGCGGGGGGCGGGAAGTGGTGAGGAGAGCGCTATCACACACCGTGCGGCATCGTTGTGGTTGCCAGTGGCTGTAGCGAAACAGCGCAGTGTGTAATGTGCGAGCACACTCGAAGATACCCACGCTCAACGCGAAGCCTATTCAGGGTACTCAAGATACGCAATTCATATAACGCGTACGCAACAAAATCTTCTCGCCCAAAACATAGCATGTGGAAACAGAACCAGCCTGATCTGACCAACAAATGAGGAACAGAAGGCGAGGCCGGGGGGCGGGGGTTGCAAATGATGAACGTTCTTCGCTGCATCTCGTTGTCGTTTTGACAGCGAAGCTGTAGGTGCACATCACATCCGGACCGGCCTTTGTAAACCTCCGGCCCCGTCGTTCTGAAGGGTGCCACACAGGCTACCTGAGAACGTTTGCTTGCCTCTGCGCATGATCACTTCAACTTCCTGCCGCCCAACGCCTCTTCTCTTCCCGGGCGGCACCGCGGGCGTTAACAACGGAGCGCGGCGCGGGGCTACTGGTGGTCTGAGAAGGATGTGCGCGACAATCAAGCTCGTTGAAATGATAAGGGCTGGGATGGTGGCGGCGGCGGCGGCGGCGGTGGTGGTGGTCTGAGTTTTTGTTTGCTCCCGGCCGGCTTTCGGGCCAGGATTCGATAGATCGGGTGTTCGACAGCAGTACCTGGTAGTTACTTGCCCTCCGGCCAGGTTCGTGGTCGGGCGGTCGAACGTAGTGTAGTGGTGTACCCCAAGTCAAACAAACACCACAACCTTCTGTGGGACACACGCATATGGGCACGACACTACTGCTGCTGCTGTACGGGGGGGAATAGGCAGCGGACATGCAGCATCGCGGTTGCCTACAACGTGTGCATGTCTCGGGAGTTTTAGCAAAAAACAACAGGTGGAATCTGTTGGGTTGTATGATGTTTCCAAGCACCACTCACTTCGTCTCGCACGGTTGTCTTTCCGTCTTTTCTGGTTTAGCACAGCTTAAGCAGCGCTGGTGTCGACATTTCTGGGTCCTGATTTTGTTTCGTTACTTCTCTTTGATTTTTCACAACCACGTGTCTGCGTGCCCGTCTTCGGTTAGCCTATGCATGACCACCATCGGGAAGGCGTCCGCGTCAGTAATAAAAAATAGGAGGCACTTCTAAAGCAAGCAGCAATCGGCGATTTTTTATTTGTTGTGAAAGAGAGCAGCCGAGTGCGCGTCGGGCGACCCGACGCAGCATGAGTGAAAACAATTGCATCGACGTTATGCCAGGTGCTGCTGTGGGAGCGTCGCGTTTTCGCATCCCCGTTGCTCACCTCGGTAGGAGCACCCCCACCAACAGCAGCAACCGCATCAGCACCAGAGCCGCCTGCTGGCCTTCCGTTCGCCCGCTTCCCTCCTCCCCCTCCTCCTCCTCCTCTTCCTCCGCCCCCCCTGCCGCCGCCTGCGGCACCAGGTCTTGACGGACTAGAAACGTTTCCGTTTCCGTTCGCATTGGAAGCGATTCTTTTTCCGATCGGGCTCAGGCTCAGGTCTGGGGCCGTTCTGGGGCGCTGCCGTCTGGTGGCACCCCTGCTTCCTTCTCGGGCAGGCATCTCCACGAGCTGATCTCCACAGCACTCGCTGAGATAGTTTGTAATCCACCCGCGCGCGCGGCCCGCGTTCCTCGTTTAAAAAAAACTCCGGCTATACAGCCCGCAGAAGGAGTTGCTCTTGTCTGACTCCCGCACACGAAACGGAGACTGCTGTCCTTTACAACGCGGGTGCGACGCCCCGGTGGTGGTGGGTGCTATCGCTCGTCGTGACCCCCTCCCCCCGAACGAAACGGAGCAGGGGAAATTGTTTTGTTCCGAGAAAAGAGACGCTCTCGGCTATGTGCCTCTTGTTATTTTAGTTGGTGAGGACGGCAAGTGTTTTTTTGCCTGCGCTCCCCCTGTGCTCAGCGACAGCCCACGCAAGCAAGTCACCACCAGGAATGGCAAATCAGCTCAGCAGCCCTCAGCTTAGAGAGAACGGTATGACTCCATGGTCATCTTCGTGTAAACACGAACAGACCAACAGAACCCGGTGTCTTCTTGACGTTGCCCCAACACCTGGTGCCCGCTGCTGCTGCTTCCGCTGGGTCCAGAAAGAAGTTGTCGATAATTTTTTTCAGACGGAGAAATGGAACACAACCCCCCCTCTTTGCTCCGTCGCAGCTTTCTCGTCCCTGCGCTTTTTTCGTCTCCCTTCTCGAAGGGCCCACAGGAGCAAGAATGGCAACCTCTTGTTGTTGTTGTTGAGGCGGCACGGAGCGGTGGTGCGGTGTTGAGCGCGAAGGCGGAACAAAAGGCTGATTTGCTGGTGGCGCAGGGGGCGCGAAAGAGGAACCTAACGGAAACTACCATGCATGACAGATTCAAATCAATATACATTCTGCGGAACTCCCTAAAGAGCTCGCACACTGCCAAAACACCAGCTGCCTGGCCACGTGCATTGTACGCAGCCTCCCTCTCACCACAGCCACACCGCCCACGCGGCCGAACACACAGCGAAGCATGATCAGTTCACTGTCATGGGTGGGTACTTATTATGTCTTGGGTGATTTCCTCACAAAGCGAGAAAGAAACCTGTAGTTCATAGGGAAAGACATTAATTCACCGCCATTAGCTGTTCACGGGCATGTTTCCGTGTGCGTCCTTCTTCGCACCTCAGCCCAGGGCGCCGCTGTTCCCTTACCCACGCTCTCCGTTTGGCAGGTCCCCAGGGGGGCATCGAAAAGCAAGCCTCTGCGCTATGAGGTATCGCAACGCGAGCTGGAGGAGATGATGCGGGAGCAGAGGTAAGAGCGGGAGTGGGACAGAGAGAGAGGAGAAATCGTGAGGGATTTGATACCCCAGGACTGGTTGTGTGAGCACCACTCACTACACAGCAGCAGTATGCCCGATTGTTCCCGACACCTGATTGAGGTGTCCTCAAGAACGCTGCACGCAGCCTCCGGGTTGGCCAATTAGATGGCGACTAGTGTTGAGAGCGCTACCGGTACAAGCTCGTAGCATCCACAGATCCACAGCCAACGCCATGAGACAGGATGGCACATTTCCGCACTCGTTCTCCCTCCCGGAGCAGAGGATGATGGGGGTTGGTGGATCTCGACAGTCCAGTGCAACGTTTGTGTTCATCGACGAATAATACACCGGTCGCCCCGGTAGTCTAGTGGGTATCCTCGCAGCCTGCTAAGGGCCAGGTCATGGGTTCGGGTCCCGGCAGAGTGAGTTTTTTCTCACTATTTAAATCCTGGTCTAGGATGAAAGCGACGCGCTGCAAAGCTCGTTGTTACTAAACCATAATCGACTTCGCAAGTCGCGAGGGAAGGGATTGCCGTACCCTTCTCGTGATAAAATATCTCAGGCAGGAACCGCAGGAGGGGGTCCAAACCCCCCCTCCTGTGTGACCCCGGTTGGGTCGTCTAGCTAGTAGAAGTGGAGGATAGGGGCCAGAGGGGCAGACGACAGAGTCCAATGATGGGAGAACAACAAAAAAATGCAGCCTTCAAACGGCGGTAGCATGGTACATCAGACCGCGTGTTTGCAGCCATTTTATTGTCAACGGGCATGTTTGTTAAACTGCTGTATTGTCGGCGTTGTTCTACTGCTGTGGAGATGGCATGTGAAATACATTGATGTTTGCTACAAGTATTACTACCCGGGTGAACTGCTGGGGTGCATGATATTCATGTTTACAAGCACGAACGGGGTGGCAGTAACACGCCAAACATGAGCCTTGGTGTTTTTTTCTGAGATGAAGTTGGTGGTAGTTCTGCGATACAACCCTTTCTACCTTTCTAGATACAACATTTCCAGCACAGCTGTCAGGACATCCAACGTGGTTGATGCATCGAGCTCTGATCAAACCTCTCTCTCTCTCTCTCCTCGCCTCCGCTGCTGGCCCTCTCTCTCTTCTCCCCTCTGCCAACCTCTCAGAATAGCAGTGGACGAAGAGGTGACCGACGACAACGACATCCTCGGCGACGGCGCTGAGGGAGTTGCGGGAGGCGCCGCCGCTAGAGGCGACGGCGACGACGAACTGCCTCCCGAACTGCGCATGGACGACTACGACAACGAGCCGGGGTTAACGCTATCGGGGCCCCGCGACGGCCGCGAAGGCGGGGACGGGAGCGATTCCGACGACGACGACGATGACGGTGATCACTTGGACGCCATGGAGGAGGAGGAGGAGGAGGAGGAGGAAGAGGAAGGAGAGGGTGAGGGTGATGCGATGGGCGTGAGCTTGCTGGAGGAGCCCAGCACCGGGCAGGTGTTCGCGTACGAGTCGGAGGGGGAGGATTCCGACACCGAGGATAACATCATCAAGCCCGGGGACCACGTGTTGCTCACGGCCAGCACCGAGGAGGTACGTGTTTTCGCGCGGCGTATTGCCTTGCGTCTCACGAATGAATCAAGTGTACCGTGTCATGCCTCTTAGCCCACGCGTTTGTACACCCACTGGCTGCTGGAAAGTTGGTCTTTTGAGAGGTGTACACACGTCTTGCTCGCGCACAGCTGCTACAGCACGAGATTCACAAGACGTGAACTCTCGCAGAGAGAGGCCAATCTACGAATTTCTCGCTGTCTTGTCTATCTCCCTGCTGTGCTCTTCACTCCTTGCGTCGCCCACATGCCATCCCCTTGTCCCTTGCACCTTAACGGTACCCTAACGCTTTTTTTGTTGTTGTCGCGTGGGATCAGGACGAGCACTCGGCTCTCGAGGTCCAGGTGTACTCGGAGGAAACCGGCAACCTGTACGTGCACCACGACATCGCCCTGCCGTCGCTGCCCCTCTGTCTCGCCTGGATGGACATGCCGCCGAGAACGGCGGCGATGTCGAGGGTGTCTGGGAGTGCCGACGAGGGTCATACTGTTGGGTGAGCCGCCTCCGTTTTACGCTTAGCGTCAGGCTTGCCTTCGGTAGGCCCCTCAGTTTAACTCCCACCTCTTGGGTGGGTTGGGGTTAGGCTCGTCAGTGCCTCGATGTCTACTGCTGTACATGGTGTCGGTTTGTTGGGTACCACGAAGCGCGGTGTGCGTCGTGTTCGTTTGCGACGGCAGTTGTGGTAGTCGGTGGCGTTCGCAGGATTCGGTACACGTGACCGCTGTTGTTGACGTTGGTAGAACAGGCAGGCAGGCAGGCAGGCGGCCTGGCCCCCTATTGTTGGTGCTAGGTCGTTTTCACGTGATTCGTCCCTCGCTTGTCGTGCCACCCCCCTATGCTGTGTGCGCCCTTTGTCTCTTGTCTCCGTCTCGCTCTCCCCGCCATTTGGCTTTGCGATACAAGTACAACTGTCCAATTTCCACCCTTGGTTCCCGTTCTGCATCTCTCCGTCATGACGTCATGTCCCTCGCACAGTCTTGACGTTCCTCCTCGCTGTTGTGTTCCTCGGTTTCGCCCTGCTTTTTTTTTTCATTCCCTGGTTTGTGTGTAGGAGCTACTGTGCGGTGGGCACCTTCGAACCGGGGATCGAGATCTGGAACCTTGACGTGTTGGACCCTTTGGAGCCGACGGCGACGTTAGGCGGGTTCAAGGAAAAGGACAAGAAGCCCGGGAAAAAGTGAGAGGGCGTTGCCAGGTTCTCTCGACCGGTCTTGAGGGATGCCGGTCGGCTGCGAAGGGAGGGGAAGGGGATCACAGGGCAGAGGATTCGTTGCACAGAGGTTGGGTAGAAATGTTCCATTCGATGGGCAGGCCACTTTAATGCTCCCTCTCTCTCTCTCCCTCTCTCTCTGTCTCCCGCCCTCTCTTCATTTATTTTGAACGCGTGCGCTTGTGTGCGTGTGTCTTTACTATTAGCATCGACCGAACCAACCGGCTGACCAATGAACAACGTGTACGTGTGTGCGTACGTACGTACGTACGTACGATCAGGCCCAGAAAACGGCAGACCATCCCCGGGAGCCACACCGACGCGGTCCTGGCGCTGAGCTGGAACCGGGAGCATAGACACGTACTAGCGAGCGGTTCGGGGGACAACACCGTCAAGGTAGACATGGACACCAGAGAGAAATAGCCACACCCGTGCCATTCCTACTCTTGCTTGGTCCGTTCCTTTCTTGTACCACAACGATTTTTTTTCCCAGTGGCCCGTTTTTTCATTTTTCCGCTGCTCGTCGCAAGAATGATCGATCTTGGGGGTTGCTGCCTGCTTGCTGAATACCACGGCGCAGGCCATGACTGCTGTGCTGCCAACACTGCTGCTGCTGTACTTCGTATCACCCTTGCGGCGGAACACATGTATCAAAACTTGCCGCACGCTTGGTTGCAACGCGTGCCGCCGCCTGCCACGCAGCGCTGCTTCCTTCTACCGAGGATCGATCGCTGTGCTTCGATTGTGTCGTCGTTTCCAGACGTCTTCGGTTCGAACCTTGTCCTTGCGCTGTCCACCCTCGTACAACAGTTTTGAAGACAGCCTTCACCCCCCCCGCACTCTGTCTTCCCTGACCCACGATCTCATTCCGACATGAACAATATTTGTCCTTGATGTTGATGTCGTCTTGGCGGTGGCGGTGGTGATGGTTGTCTTGGCGGTCGCATGCGTTGACAGGTGTGGGACGTAACGACGCAGCAGTGCTCGGCGACGCTCACGCACCACTCTGACAAGGTGCAGGGGGTGGCCTGGCACCCCGTCGAAGCGACCGTCATGGCCACCGTGGGGTGAGAAAAAAATAATCAATTTCCTCCTCCCCCTCTTCTTCCCTGCAGCAGTCAATCGTGCGAGTTCTCAAGCGAGAGGAATTTGTATACCAGAATTTTTCGTTCACATGGTGTGTGTATTGTAAGAACTCCCGCATGCGTTCGATTGAGTACACGCCGCTCGGGCCACAACGGTCATGGTCAAACGTATCTTCGGGACTACTTTGCCACATTCTTTTTCTATTAAAGTTACTACATCACAGCGAATCCACCTCTATCCACAGATCGAGTCGGGGACAATATTATCCTCAGATAGTAAGAGTCTGAAACAATATTAGCATTGAATCCGAAGAGTTAGCTGGAGCACTACCTACGTTTGTTCGATTCCCGGAGCAGCGATGTTCGTGTTTTTCGACCGAGCCTGTGCCTGGGACTGTGCCCGAGCCCAGGGCGTTTTAGTGTTGATTCGCCTATTTACTATGGCAATCTAACCCCTCTTTGTCATGTCCTCCACGTTGCCACCGTTCGTGTAACCGTCG